CGGCCACTTCTAATAAAAGTCGTAAGTCCGACCTCTGAGAAAAATTTCTAGGTGATAATACAGGCCTAGACCCCTCACTCGGGCATCCTAGTCTATAGGACTTGGTTGTAAGACTCACAACTCGGGCCACTTAGCTTATCGAGTTAGGTCGTAAGACTAATCATTAGACAACTTCTAAGGAATTAATAAGACTTATTCAATCAAAAGTTTCAGGCTACCTTTATTAGAAGCTGTAAGTCCCACTAATTGGATTTCTTTCTAATGAAATCCATAAGTCCCTACCCAAATCTAATCAAACGAATGTCTCTTGTTGAAAAATCAAGGCAAAAGCCTCATGAGAGAATTTCATCTTTAAATAATGTTTTGAAATTCAGTAATTATGATACTAATCCCATGTCGATAACATGTGGAATTTCTATCGTAAGATCTTCTACAAAACAAATAAATTTTATGGGTATCTTATTATAAAAGATTAAGTTGTAAGACCCACATTTTTTCAGGCTACTTCCTAAGGGAAGTCATAAGTCCTACTCAAATAATTAAAACCTCTAGGCAGCCTTGCTGTAGAGTAAGGTTGTAAGACCCAGTTTTGGACAACTCAGAAATAGAGCAGTAAGCCCCATCCTAAATCAAATATCCGTGTTACTTTCTATGAAAGTTGTAAATCCTAACATAAATTTAAATCTCAGGGTTACTTTCTACGAAAGCCTTAAGTCCTAACCTAAATTTAAATCCCCGGGCTACTTTTTAAGAAAACTGTAAGTCTCAACCTAAATCTAAATATCTGGGTTACTTCTTAAAGAAGCCATAAGACCTGCTCCAATCCAAACTCCGGGGTTACTTCTAAACGAAGTCATAAATCCTAAACTAAATAAATTTCTAGCTATTCTAATAGATGTAAACCCCAAACCTTAAATAAAAATTAAAACTAAAATCGACAATTAACCACTTCAGTCAACTCGGGATCCCTGAGAGGAGGTAACCCATGGCTGCTAATCAGATTCCCTCGACACTACGGTTCATGATTGTTAGTGTTGGTAGACTAAAATCTACGGTATACCCGGGGTGATGGAACCATGAGATCTTTATCGGGTTTGCCTTCATTTTTCCCACTATTGAGACTAAAAATACATAAAAATTTATTCATACTTAATCGAGAGTTCTCTCTTACGTGTTGAGAGGGGTAATTAACTATGAGTGTTTGTGCTCATAGGAAGTAAGAACTCCAGATCTTTAAATTCTGACACTACATTTAGGGGAAATCTGGTTAACTACAATCTGACTTAAGGGAAATAGAATCCTATAACTGCAAAACAGGAATCATGGATTCGTGCCTTTTTTTTTTTTGAGCCAACAGTACTCATCACAACCTCTAATATACTTGGTCTTTCTAATACACCACATGATGCACTTTTATGTTTTTTGGTGCATTTTCACAGTGTATTTGCATACTTTTATGTACTCATGTTTTTTGATGTGTTTGAATGGTGCACTTGTGCACTTTTTAGTGCCTTTTAATCATGTAATCACACAATTTTCAATGTACTTTTATGTTTTCTAATGTGCATACATGATGTATTTGCATGACTTTTGATACATTTGTATGCTTGTTAATATCCTCATATGCTTCGTGATGCGTTTATATGATGCAATTGCACAGTTTTCAATATATTTGTATAATATGCACATATGCTTTTCGAGGGGGCTCTCAAGATAATTATATGCTTTTCGAGGAGACTGTACATTTCTTGAGGTAATGACATGCTTCATGAAGCAACTGTATGCTTCATGTGGCATTGAAATGCTTCTTGATATGGTTGCATGCTTTTTGAAGCATTGGCATGCTTGTTGAGGTATTGCACTTGAATTGACAATTACATTTTGATGCGCGCATGATTTGAAAATGTCCAAATTTTGGTTTGCGCTAGCATTTGTTGATGAAATGCACTCAAGTTTCCTTTTGAAATTTATTTTATGCTTTTTTTTTTCTACTTTTGGTATGTGTTGTGGATTCAGTGACATAGAAGGCGAGTAGGAATCTCTTAAGTATGTTAAGATATAGCAATATTATCTTCTTGTGCTTGTAATTTTGCACCTTGGGCTCCATAGGGAATCCATTCTTGTCTTGTAAACAAGAGAGGTTTGCTTAGTTTATTTTCGTATTTTGTGCTTAATTCATAGAGTTATTTTGTTCTGAAGAGTTTAAGAAGTAGTGAGGGGATGTTGTTCGTGCCCGTAGGTATGTTCTTATTGCTCTTCAACAATGATTTATTATTGCATGCAAGAAGTTAGTTGGAATGATGTCTCTGATCCTATGATTGTCAATAAATATTTTGACATGATTACCTTACATGCTCACAATTTAAAAATTTTGATTTGGATTGACCGGAATATTATACATGTTAGTTTTAGGTCTAAAATGTTGACCCCTTCAATTTTTAGGTTGGATTCCTGCTAACCTAATAACTGAAATCAACTTGAAAATAACTTTTTAATTTTTAGCTCTAAAATGCATTCTCTCATTGACTAGCCGACAACCTGCCTTGTTCGTGTTGACCCAAAATGTATGAATAATATTACAGTTGTTTGGTTTTAGTCAATCGAGCTTTAATCAAGTAGGTTTGGGTCAAACATTATGGCTCATATAAAAAATGAGTTGGTTTGAGTCAACCAACTTTGGGTCATGTCCGATTTGGTGATGCATGAACCTGACCCTTTTATCTTAATTGACACCTTATCCCATATGAAAAACAAAAACAATGTAGGAGAAAAGTAGTTTTTTCATTCAAAATTATTTTTACAATATATTTAACTATCATCTACCTAATTGTAACCAAAGGAAAAAAAACATTGGTAAACGGTTGGTGGATTGCCATCACTTCCATGTGCAGCGCAAAGGCTGCAGAAAAACTGATTACCTTCCGTCTTAAACGGCACAGATAAACTAGCTACATATGAAATATGAAGAGAAAAGGGAAAAACAATAAAAGAGGGCATTTATTATTTGGCAAAATCAAGAGAAAAAGAAATGAGATAAATATGGCATTTGAATTCAAATAAATTCAAAGACTACACTTAATACTGTAAATAAAATATCTACTACCATTTCAATCATAACAAATAAGGAACAATCTAATATCTATCCAGGTCTTCCAATAGTTCACACAAGAATTATCATTAGTTTAGATTATCATATTAACACGAGGATCAATTTTTAGAAGATTACTCATATTGTACATGATCAATGTTTATGCTTTGGCAGTTTGATTTGTTAATGAAGATAACCAATGGTGATGATTCTCAGACCAGGCCGTTGACAATGAAGATCAAGTTAGTAGGAGTCCATAGAAGATAGATCATCAATCAATGCCTAATAATCAAAATTAGGATAAATTTTTTAGCATACCTATTTTCCCTTTACCTCAATTCCTTTGAAAATTTGGCTTCCTATGGGGCAGATCATCTATAAGGTCTGGGTTGAGCTCGTCATTCTTAAAAATTTTCCCTCTATCCCCTCTATCCAAACACCATGAGGTAATTTAGACTCCAACTTTATACGGACAATATAGGGTCTGGGTTGAGCTCGCAAACTCCCTTCTCCCCCATCGAAACATATTACCATCAAATAACATCGGATATCCCACTTTTGAAGCAAACTTAGCAAGATTGGTTTCATCCCAACAATGTAGTGGCAAATGCGGCAAACGAATCCAAATAGGTGATGTTAACCCTTTTAAGGATTCTTGAGAGAATTGTGGTGTCCATTTATCAATCCCCACAATGTGTCCTCCCACATACCAAGAGAAATCACCAAGAACTTTATCCATAGCTTCATTAGATTGGAACGAGCACAATATCCAATCTAATCCATGAGAGGTTAAATGAAATCAACCAAATCTAGCCCATTGACGTCTCAATTCGATGCTACACAAAACACAAAGAAAAAGGAATATTCTTACCAAAAACTTTCACAACAAGAGAGTTTTTAAGAACTTCCACATTCTTTGCGACTTTCGTTTCATCAAGCTTCACAATGTCGTCCGCATTATGCCAATCAAAAACTTGATTCGAAAGATTGATCGTGATATGTTGCGTTTTAATCCATGAGTTAAAAAACTGATTCTTCTGAACAGAATTTCCCGGTTCAGCAGGCACTGGAGACAAGTTAAGTCTCCTTTCTATAGGAAGTGTTGTGTTAACATCATCAACAACAATAGTTGTATTATCCTGACCAGACGGACGGTTATCATTTCGATCTCCATCCTTGCTAACCTAATTTGAAAATCTATTAACCTTCAATCTAAAAGAAGATGAGGAAGACAATTCATGATCATTTGTTTTGGATCCAAGATTAGTCTTTGGATAAAAGGATAAAAAGTCTCCCGTATCACACTTCTTTCTATTCTCGCACAGAACTATACTTCTTTTCCTTTTCCTTCAACATCCGCATTACTTCGAACAGGTGGAAGGTTTCCTTCAGTAATCTTCAATGGCTTTTGTTTGAAAACATTCTCCCGATTATTAGTGGGAAATTTTGGATAATTGCTTCCAGCGATCCTTAGGTGGATATGAAGATTTGGATGGCCGATCATGAGCGAACGATTATCGGCGATCCTCCGCCGCGGTAGGAAAAATCTAAAATTCTGGACTCTCTCTCTAAAACTCTGGATTTGGATGGCCGCCATAAGTTCAATATTTTTTCTTAGTTCTTGGTCGATGTATCTTTTCAACTTTTTTCTTGTTATGGGCCCTAATGGTAATTTTATCTCTTCTTCAATGAGCATATTGTGCCAGCCATAGATCTTACTACTAAATCATGACATTCATGGCTTTGACATAGTTTTTTGTCATTAATATTTTGTATGGAGGTCATGCATATTAAACTTCTTTTTTTCTTACTTTTTTGATATAGAGAAAGCTTCATTTTTTATGTTATAACATTTCAAGAATATGTGATTTGTTGTTTTTATTGTACACTTTTGTGTTTGTTTCTTCTATAGGAATCCTAAAATTGTTTCAACACCAAAAAGCTCGAGATTAAAGCATAAAAGAAGATGTGTTGGAGAAACAATGATCAAAGAAACATTTGTTCAAAATGTGATACATAACAATAGCCTACTGAATATTCTCCTTGACGACGGCTCTTCATGTTTGATTCTTCCACAAAGAACATTTGATAAACCCTTATGCTCTGGTTTACATCTGAAATTACAAATGAAGGTAAAACCAAGAATAGCACTTGGTTTATGCCATGCTGAGGATAAAATGGAAGGAAATTCTGTTCATGATTTTTATATTGGAAGCAGGAGCAGCTGGCCTAGTTCGAGTGGCTTTTGTCCAGCTGAGGAGAATTCTAATTCTGTATACTACAGAAAAAATCTTTTAGCAACCAAGATTAGTAGCTTAGGATCTTCTGGTTCACAAATTTTGTCTTCAAGGTTGCAGAATAAAGAGGGACAAAATAACAAATATCGAACTGATGGAGTTTTAGATCAGGGGCTGTTATCATGCGTCACTTGCGGGATATTAAGTTATGCCTGTGTGGCTGTAATGCAACCTAGTGAAGCGGCGGCTGAATACCTCTTGTCTTCTAACTGCAACTCTTTTTCTAATCAGATTGTTGGCTTTGAGGAAAATTGTGGCTTGAATAATGAAGCTACTTCAAACACACTCAATTCTGATGTTGACGTCAATGTTGGTAAGTGAATATCATTAAACATACTTGTGCGCATACACCTTTACCCCAATAAACAGAAGGAAACAGTAAGAATTATTTTTTTTATTTCATAGGATGATAATTGCATGCTTGCTGGAATGCATGAGCTTTCTCTCTCTCTTTTTTTTTCTTGCTAGAGATAATTTTCTTTAATGTCTTTTTTCGATATACTTCTTCCTTCTGCTCAGGACATATAGAGAAGATTCATTCTCCAGTCCAAGTTCATTTCCGTAATGATGGTTTGCTTTCTAATGCCAAGGTTGAGAGAGGAGCTTCAGCTCTTGACCTTTTGGCGGCTGCATATGGTGACTTGTCAGATTCCGAAGAAGATGCACTTCATGATGTTTCTTTCTGTGCTGATGGTGACAAGTTAACTCATTCATCTCTAATGTGCATTGTGGACGACCAGTCAGTGAGTCCCGTTACTTCTGAAAGTATTTGTCAAAAAGGTTTTCCTACAAATGAAGGGGAGGCTTTTTTTACTAGAAACTATCGAAATAGAACCAGTGGGATATGTAACTCCATTTCCAAACTTATTCAGAGTAGCAAAACAGTTGATAAGAGTTTTAATGTTAGCAAATTTTTTCAGTTACATGAAAATGGCAATTATAACTGTGCCTGTGATCTACAGCCCCTAGATGCTTGGAGGGACCTACGCAGCACTTACAAAACTGATCCAACAACCGTAAATTTAAATGACATCATAATAAAAAATCTCAAGTCTGATTCAAGAGGATATTATCCCCCTGGTTCTTTTAATGAATCTAAAATAACAACTAGAAATATAGCTTCCACAAAATTTTGTCATCTGGATGACTCCATAAAGAACTCAAACATGACAGTTTTGCAGGCATCTGACAAAGACTCTTACAGAATGCATGTCTTCTGTCTTGAACATGCTGTGGAGGTAGAAAAGCGGCTTCGAGTATTGGGTGGGGTAAACATGATGCTTCTTTGCCATCCAGGTAAGCTTAGGGAAATTATACTTCCATTAGCTTTAGAGAATTGCTTTCCTGTTGACCAACATTTGATTGGTGTAATGCGTATTAATATTGCTTTTACAAGGTGTTTTTCCTCATGTCCTTCATGCTCCATTCCATCGTATTATTTTGGAATGCTAGCAAAAATTGCAGCTTATATCAGCTAATTACGTAGTCTTTTTTAGTATCTTGACTCATTGGATATAATAACTTGGAAAATGCAAGCTTCAGCAGCAGTCATGTAAAATCATACATTTTTCTTCAAAATGGTTTGGTTTATTAATGTCACACACCAGTCTTAGGATTCTATCTCAATCTTTCATAATTGGAAGCATATTCAAAACACATTAAATAAATACAGAGCTTTATTAAACTTTTCAATAAAGTTTACAAACCCAAAAGTTTGATTGTACAGCTTCCTACTCTTGCTTCTATGCACAACCAAAATTTTTGTACACAAAAATGCAGATATCCTTATGCCTAGAGCCCCACTTGCTCCTTCCCTTTTCCTATAGTGCAACTATTGTTAATGAGTTATAGCTTAATGAAATGTATAATCATAGAATAAGAAATAATAAATATATAATTTGCAGTCAATTGTAAATAATATTGAGATTTCAATAAGGAATCCTATGCCATATGAGAACTCAATGCATAAAGATACTAATCATTGTATGTATTTTTTAACTTTTCACATTTCTTATTATGTTTATATTCCAATACTTTATTCAACTCTAACGATGACTATAAATTTTTGCACACTTATAGCTCTCTCATTCAAAGTTGGATTCAAATTTTCAACTTTTAGAAGTGAGAGAGTTGGATACCTTCTGTACGGTCTCTAAGGCTTACCTCATTATGTCATCCATCCTTACTTGCCTGGGTTTATCCCCCACATATGACTTATCTCATTGTGGGCTCCGAAAATTCGGCCCCAGCCTCACCCACTTGCTTTTCTTAAGGGGAGTTTTAACGAATTTAAGTTTCGGTGTAAATTTTGGAAGGCAGATGAGTTTGTAGATAAGACACTACCCATAGGTTTTACCCTTATTTTGTGAGGACTTTATGATCTGTGTTTTGGTTTCTTATAGGCGTAAGCCCCTATAGTTAATTACCTCTCCCGATAATGAGTGAGAACTTTCGATTAAGGCTAGCCGTCAATCAAATACGTAGAGATATATAGTATATGTCATATAGTAACAGCATGGGCTTGAGAATTGGATAGTTTGGAGATGTGATATTTAAAATTAGAAAATTTTTCATCATCTTGCACTAAAAGTGGATGGTGGTGGAATAGATAATGGACCCGATCAAGATACCATGGTTCCGTCGTCTCGGGCCATCGTGGACCCTGATTTACTTAGTCAGAGGAGGTAGTCGACCCCACCTGACAGAAGGATCCTTGTCGGCTGCCATAGGTTGCGTCATCTAAGTGTACCTTGTAGACCAGGGGTGGATGTTTGTCTAAGGGGATAAATTTGAATCCACCTTAGCTAATAGAGGGCTTTGTGCCTTATCAATTATATCATATTGATTCATGTCTCAAGGATTTGATGCCACTAAGGAACGTATTGGCTTTGATCATAACCGCAATCTCATGCCATTTGACATAGAACCACTTGATTTAGAGGGCCCCGGGTCATAACCGTTTATCCTGGTGTGTCATTTGGCAGCAAAATTGCCGGTCAGAGGACATGTACCACATTCTTTCTGATAGGAGATTATTTGAGAATAGATTTTAGTGATATTTTTTACTAAACATTAGTTCTATGTGAGCTGAAGTGATGTTAAAATTTGTCCACATCGGCAAACTGTTACAGATGATGAATTGATTTGGATTTAAGTGATTGATGATTGATTTCGATTTTAAATATCGAGATTTGGATGATTTTTGGAATTTTTGGATTTTTGATATTTGGATGACATTTTGAATTATTTGGAATGGACCCATCCATTTGAGATTTTCTATCAAACACAACCATCATCGGGGTGTTAATGGGCATTTGAAAATTTCATTGATTGGACCTTGTCGACTCTGTCTACTGCTCAACAGAGGATCAGGTCCCTAGGCTTTATGGTTTTGTTAATGAATTTTCTTTGATTGAGGCCTTGAAGGTCTTATATGAACGTATAAAATAGATTATTCTGGTTAACACCTTGATTGTATATTTATTTGATAATTCGAGTTATATCAACTCCTATCTATTCATATAGAATGATCGAGTTCAAACTACGTTCATTTATTGACCCGCATAACATCCCTATACGTCACGTGTGTAACTGTAACACACTCACTTGGGCCCATGCTGGTGTTTGGTGGTATTTTATAATTATTTGAACTTTTTTTACTGCTATTTACCTGCTTAGGAGGATCAGATTCAAATTTATTATCCTGCGCATCATTCCTAGACATCACATGTGTCTCAATAACACACTCGTTGGGGTCCACACTTATTTTTGGGGGCATTTTATAATTATTTGTTGAAACTTGTCGACTCCTACTTACCTGCTTAGGAAGATCATATTCAAATTTATTGATCCGCGTAGCATCCATAGACGTCACGTGTGTGAATACATCACGCTCGTCGGGGCTCATGCGGGTGTTTGGGAGTATTTTATAATTATTTATTGAATATTGTCGACTCCTATTTACTTGTTTAGGAGGATCGGGTTCAAATTTATTGACCCGCATAGCATCCCTAGACGTCACATGTGTGAATACATCATGCTCGCCGAGGCATATGTGGGTTTTATGATTGCACTTACCCCTTTTGCGAACCTATGTGAATACAGATTACGGTGCATGTGCGGGGGCATTTTGAAAATATTTATAAATACTTTCAGTCCGCTTGCATGGATGTTGTAGATCCGGTGGTGTATTGTAGTAGTTTCTGAATTGAGTTGTTTGCTGCTTTATACAGGTAGACTGTCGTGCACTACTTATTGCTTTATGTAAATGGATTGTATTACACTGACGAATCTCCTGCTTTTGATTTGTAGACAATTGCATTGACACGATAATTTTATTCGTGGTCATTACTTTGCATACAAGTCTTCTAGAACTAACTACAGACATTTGAATTTGTTGTAGTTATTCTGCATTTTGCTTGTGGCTGACACACTAGGCGTACATTAAACCTTCTATGACGACTCGTAGAAACTTGCATTTGTTATAGTCCTTTGACATTCGTTCGTAAATAGTACGTAATATTCATAGCGGGTCACGTAGAGAATCTTGTAGGAGCTTGTATCTGCTGCGCATCATCTGGTATTTTCTTGCAGATAACATATAGTGTGTACGACAGGGCTCCTACGGTAGTTTGCATGGACTTGCATTTGGTGCTTGATCAACAAAGGTTGACATGGATGCTTCTATCTTTGACATATGATTTGTAGCATCTACTGAGATATTCTTGTGCATCTACTGGCAATTAGATTCAACTGACAATTATACCCTTTGAACGTAGTGGATTGACTAAATTTCACCATTCATTATAATCAATACTTGCTAGCATTTGCATGATCTATGGATATACATTTCTTGTTGCCTGTTATTTTCCTTTGTGTTGCACTTGTAGATAGTGGATCTCCTACAACAGTCCATAGGAATTTGCATCTGTTTCCAATTGGTTACCTTTTGACTCGCAAGGGATTTGTATATTTGCCCTCCACCAAATAGTTGTTGATCGTGGAGATTGCCTACATTGAGTGTGTTGATAAGAGATTTCATTGTTTGCAAGGAATTTTGTTGCTTGTAGGCGATAAGTCGAATGTGTCACGGTTCTTCTATCGAAGTCTGTGGAGAATTCATCGCATTCATTATACATTCATCGTATAGTCTTTATATTTCCTTCATGAATACATCGGGATATTCATTACAAACATTACACTCCCTTCCACAAACATGATTGTTATTGTACTTTCCACCATCTTATCACTTGAAAACAAGTTGAACGTGCAAGTTCTTTGTCTTCAAAGATGGTTTACAATATGCATAATGAGTTTGACATTCATAATTTGTTTGATATTCATTCCTCGTCTAGCATTAAGGCTTTCAACACTTGTGGGAAATTTCATGCTATTGGTTGTAGGCATATTGCCATATCACTCACTTAAATATTGTATATAGCTCAATTCGGTTGAATAGTTTGAATCATTTTAGTTTTATTATTCCTTGTTCATGAGATAACTTTCATTTGAATGGTTGGAATCTTGTTGACTTATGATTTGCATTTTTTGTTAGTCATTTGAGTTTTATCTTCATGCTATTCCAAGTCTTGTTCCCTATTGTCCAAGGGTCCCCTGATGTTCTTTCAAGTTCAAATTCAATTTACTATTGATCCAAATTCAAGTCTCTTTATTTTTCATTTAAGTCCAAATCTCCTGTATTCAATTAAGTCCATATCATCTGATATCATTCAAGTCCTCTGTTTGGTTCATTCGAGTTTGAATTCAATGTCCTTTGTGTCCTTGCGCCAAGTTCATCTGAGTTCAATGCAGATTCGAGTTTAAGTTCAATGTCAATTTTGAATTCACTTAGGTCCCTTGCGCTCAATCAAAGTTCAAATCAGGTCCTCAGTTCACCAGAAATTTTGGCATCTTCCCGGCGTCTCCCCTGTTTAGGGGAAACTACAGGAAACTAGGCATTCCCACCATGCTAAGAAAAGCATGTATGGTTGGTGTCCTTGGACACCACAGTCATAATCTTGATCCCCCACCACGCTAAAAAAAGCGTGCATGGTTCTTCAAAGGCACCTTTTTGAAAATGTAGTTATTTCCCCGCGAGCGAGTACTTATATATGTCCCCACTTCATCGTAGGTGTTGTAGCGGATTCCCATCCCACCACACTAAGAAAAGCGTAAATAGGTGGTTTTCCGGTGCGCCACGAACGCCGAAAAAGGGATTTTAGGTGATTACCTGCTTCGTCGTAAGCATCGCGACAAACTTCTTCCCGCCACTGTAAGAAAAGCATGTATAATGGTTG